GTTGTTACTTGTTTCACGGTTCAACAAGAAGAGAATTATTTTACATAGTTTTATGTAAACATAAATATAAGATGGCGGATACATAGTTTTATGATAGGAGAAAACTGTTGCCAACATCACTAATAGTGATGGCGGGACATTTGAATTACAAATATATATAACATTACATTTGACATTACATAAGAAAAATGTGACAAACAATTTTGTCCAGAGTATATTATAATGTTTTTAAATTTATGTAGATTTATAATTCAAGTTTTTCCTTATATCTATAAAAGTATGGTACGAAATAGCGAATTTTCCCAAATTTTTCATCTTCATTCTTGAATGGAAACTTTACTATCCATTACCAATAGGGCGGTGACAGTCTAGGCTATCACTACGAATCGATTTCTGGGTCAAACAATAATAGACAAATACTCTCCTCGTATATTATATATCTATTTTGAAAATTGATGTAAACGTCTACGGGAGGAGAGGACTACTAAATACTAACTAACTGATCGAGCGAATGTATACGCATATCGTATATATTTTAGTTTGGCACATTGTTACGTCGGATACTGAAATACATTCGGATCTTTCCTGGTTCAGGGTCGGATAATATGTAAAAGCCACTTTTTTTCAAAATTAACTTACTAGAGAATAATTTAGAATTGACTTTCTTATTAAAGTGGCAAAATGTTGTAATTGGTAACGTTTGATAGCCATACTGTTATGAACTCACACCGGAGTTGCTTTCGAGTAAAATTCACTTTGAAACACTTGAAGTGTTTTAAGTTTTAGGACTTATAAACGATAATTATTAAATATAGTTTCTATTTTATACAAATAGAATACAGGTAATCTCCATGTAAGACAATAGTTGCGTTCCAAAAAACTAGCGTGTTATACGAATCCGTGTTATACGGGACAAAAAACTAGTACAAAACTAGTGGTGCATGTCATCGTGCCTTAAGGCAAATTGCTGGAACTTTCCGTACCAGAATTAAATATTCGAGGAGAAAACTCAGTAATCAATAAATATTGATCAATGATTAATAACAAATGTTCTGAATATTTTATAGATAATTATAATAACTTTATATTTTATCGTTCTAACTTCATATTAGAAATACACATTTGAAATATATGCATTTTCAAACTTGTTGGTAAATTTAACATTCATATTTGAAGTATAAAATTTTGAAAAAAAAATTTGGAAAATTTTGAAATTTGCTCGAGTCGTATAAGTAATCTTTAAAAATTAACAATTTTGGTACGGAACCCAACAAATTTATAACAAAAAAAAAATAGTACTAATTTTTGAAAATTTTATCAAATATCTGATAGTTGATGTCTAATGATCATTTTTGACCGCCAAATATCTGTTTTTTTTTTTACTTTTTCCTCTGTATCTCGGAAACCGTTAGACCTGCTTTATCAAAAATCATCAATACTTCATCTTGTCTATACAAGTGACTTGTTTCTTGAATTATTTAAATCGCGTACTCCGTTCTCTCAAAAACTGAATTACTGTTTTTGGTATTTCTTGTACAGTATCTTCGAAACGGCTAGACATGCCTTCGCCTAAAACTAATCAGCACGTCTCAACATCAATAGGAATCGAATGTTTTTTGAACCATTCAAATCGATTGATTCGTGCGCCCGAAATCGTGGACTAAATATTTTATGAATTGACGAGATGAAAAATTGTATCCAAACACACACTCACACACACACACATGCACATACATATACATCATTTTTTTTCTCATGTATGCCAAAATGTTTAGAAACCTTTGAAACGTAAAAATATGTAAAATTTTCCATTTTTTATTTTTTTTTTCCGATTACTGAATATAACATACCATACGAGAAGTCAATAAAGAAAACATTTTAATCAAAAAGTCTTTTTTCAAGTCATTTTTTTTTTCAAAAATTTAAAATTTCTCAAAAATCTAATTTTTCAAAGTTTAAAAAAATTTTAACTCTTTAAAAAAAAAAATTTTCATACGGGACGTTCCAGCAATTTGGCTTGAGACACGATGCCATGCATCACTATAGTTTCAGATTCTATGGGATATAATAATATATAAGTGATAGTGAAGCATCCGGCGTTGTAACCACAAGGTTTTGGGTTCAACACTAGTTATCATGCAATAGTGATATCCGATTTAGATTAAAAGTATCTTATCAATTGACTCACTTTTTTCTAAGTGTGTATTAAAAGTATGTTATCAATTGACTAACAATTTTTTCATACAATTCAAAAACTTTGCTTACATAGGTGTCCTCTAGAAACATTTAAAAGTAATTTATATTATGTCAACTGTGCGATTGACGAATATACTCGTCTTGGAGAAGTGGCATAATTGTAGGATTTGACGAGTATAGTCGTCATGAGTTTAGAACAGTGATTATTTGATATTTGAATTGAAATTTTTGCAAAATAAAAATATATTTTGAAATGACAGGTTGGCTCGAAGTGCCAACTTTTGTGTGCATTTTTAGTTATGAGAAAAAATTGTATTTTTTTCAAATTTTTTTGAGAATGTTTGTTTTTTTTTTTAATTCAGGTAATAATAAATACACGTAATTGAAAATTTAAAAAAATCATCTGATCAATGGCGGATACTATTTTAGCGAAGTTCTCTGACGAATCAGTTTAGTTGATCTTGAAGAAGGCTTTTGTACTTGACTCATTTGTCGTACTTGTTGGTCATCCTTGTCAATTCTGTTGCACGCAATATATATATATATATATATATATATATAATATATATATATAATATATATATATGATTTTGTAATGATTTGTCTGTTCACCCATACTTCTTGCGGTCAGTAGGAAAGACTCACATCAGGGATACAAAACAATTATTATTATTATATTTTGCCAATTATAATAATATATTATAGAAATATCATAGCAATATATTAGTCCTTAAAGGAATAGATATATTACTAAATTTTTTAGTACACTTTTTAATTTATAAAAATTAGTTCTTGTATATAGTATCATTGTCACATTGATTGCTATAGCAAATCACAGTAAATGTTTTTACATATAGTTTATAATAGTTGATTCTATAATTAATGTAATAATTGGAATATACGAAAATGTAAACATATACGAATACACACATAAACACTTAAAAAACTAAAATAAAATCTGATCGTTCCAAAAAATGTAATCCTTGTCACGTAATATGAAATTTATGTATTTTTGAATAAATTCATTTTAAAGTTTCAGAATAATCAAAATTAAGAATATATATAGTTTCAATATCATGAAATACAAACATGTAGCTTAAATATCTTGAGTTTTAAATTTTCTTAGAGTCAACTCTGTCTTCAGCGACGTTTTGGTAGTACTTTTGTCCAAGTTGGATTTTGCTTCTAATTTTCTCTAGAGATTTAAATTATACTTTATAAATTGATAAAAAATGAAGAAACAAGGAGAACGTTATTTTTTAAATTGTTTATTTTTATTTGTTATGTACAAATTTGTTAAATTTTTCCTCTATAAAATGTTTCCCAAATCTGATCTCTATCCGATCGTAGAGAGAGATATAGTATTATATAGGCCCGTGACGTCATTCTCTTGGAGGTTATTCCTGGACGCGGTAACAGGAACGGCGTCGGCCTGGTTAGCTTTTGTATATATCAAATATATTCTATGAATATTACCAATTTATACTTTTATATACATACATTATACATGAACGAATCATACATATTTAAAATTCATAATTGACTGGAAAATGTCGCCTATAGCCACCTATAGCTTATTAGATTATAAATGGAAGCAAAGTATTCTTCGTCAAAGTATTTAGGTACAAGTAGAAATGCAGTCAAATGAAGATATTATAGTGAGAGCAATGAAAAATCAATTCTCAAGTAAAATGTTAAACTTAATTTTATTGAGTCTTAAAAATCTGTATCTATATTGAATTTTGTTTCATGCATGCTTGCTTGCTTCAATGTTGCTCCCAAATTATAATTATTTTAAATATTTATTAGACCATTGAAAAAATCATTATGACGAAGGACTTATGAATTCTATTCGCATCAGTGATTTCTGGTAAAATTAAAAAAAATTACTATTACATCATCAAATTTGATTTACAAAATAACTGTAAAACAACAAAATCAGTAAGTTTACTAAATATAACTTTTGTACAAGTAAAAATGAAATCTGTGACCCCTATTAGATTATTGATAATTGATTTGATCAGAGGAAAACTATTTTGATCTATTGCTAAATTATATTAGCTCAGTTAATTGTAATCATTTAAAATAAAACATTTATTTATTTTCTCAGTATAGTAAATATCATTTATTAGTCTTGTCTTGTTGTAGTTTATTTGTAATAAACTTCTTACTTATAATTCACTATAAACTAATATAATAGCTTGTATATCAGCTGATTTAGCTTTTGATTAAGATTCCAAAATAATAAAAATTCCAAAAGTAACTAATAATATAAAGTCCTGAACCGAACTTGATAATTTAAAAGCCTTTCGACGGGTTTCTTGTTGGTTATTAGTTTTTTGTGAAGATCGGTCGAGCTGTTTCTTTTGTTTATATTTTGTAGAACTATTGTCAAATTTTCATATTACAATAGAGTTAAGTTTTTGGAACAACATAACTGATTTACTTTATTTCGAAATAGAAAACAAACTAAGAATAAAATTGCTCTATTGAAATAATCGAATTTATCATTTAGTGGTTTTTCATTATCAAGTCTATTCAATCTCAAAATATATTTGCAATGTTAAAATTTGTATAGATTTATACAAGTAAAAATATATTTGGTAATAAAGAAAATAATAAAGTATAGTTTAATAATAAAATGTAGATCCTTCATATTTAAAACTACTTAGATGCAGAATTAGAGTGAAAATAATAATTGAGTAGCCCTGTAATCCAATAAGTTTCTTTATCTATTATGTATTTATTCTCTATTTTCTATATTTTCGTTTTTTGTCTAATATTCTTATTTTTTCCCCAATCAGGCCTGCATTGACGACAACCTGGACATGGTTGAATTCCTGGTGTCGCACGGCGCTGACGTCAACAGGGGCGACAACGAGGCCTGGACGCCCCTGCACGCCACTGCATCCTGCGGGTCAGTAGTACTTGTTTTAATTACTTACGAACCAAAATTATTAATTAAAATCGGAAAATAAATTTGGTCATATTTTTACGAGGTGTACTTTTACCTATTTCTTGCTCTTGTAGTTATTATTATAACAAACGATATTCAAATTCAAATACAAATTTCGAAATTTTAAATACTAAAAACTGAAAAAATGATATTTGAAAAAATATACATAGAAAAGCATTTAAATAGTTCGAAAAATCTAGGTGCAAACATAAAAATTAAAAAAATTAATGTTAAAATATGGGTATTTTTATCGAAGGCATTATAGGAGAGCAATAGAATTTTATATCTTTTTTAACTTCCCGTAGGGTAAGTTATTGTAATGGGCCGAAAATCGGAATTGAAAATTTTTACATTTCTCGACGTTTTGAAGGTTTCTGAACGTTTTGGCATACCTCAGAAAAAATGGATGTATGTGTGTGTGTGTGTGTATGTATGTATGGATACAAATTTCCAGTCACGTTTTAGGGCGCACGGATCAACCGATTTGAATGGTTCAAAAAACATTCGATTCTTACTGATAGGGAAAAGAGCTGATTAGTTTTTGGCGAAGGCAGGTCCAGCCGTTTCGGAGATACGGAGCAAAGAGTGCAGAAAATAGAAATCGAATTTTTGAGGGAACGGAGTATCCGATTTGAATGATCTAAAAAAACATTCAATTAGTAATGATTGGGAGAAGTGTTTATTAGTTTTTGGCAAAGGCAGGCTCAGCCATTTTGAAGATACGGAGCTAAATATGAAAAAATGTCAGTTTTTGAGAGAACTAAGGGTCCGATTTAAATGATTCAAAGAGCTTTCTGCTTGTCTTAACAAAATAATTGATTTTGGAAAAAAAAATTTTGTTCCAATTTTTTTTTTTAGTTTTTTTAGTTTTTTGTATATCGAAAATATTTCAGATTTTATTTTTAATTCTGACTATAGTTCTAATATACTTTACAAATAATTTCAACTTTGCAATTCAGTTTATATAATTCTTATAAATATTAGACAATGTTACAATATTTATAATAATCTATTTGAAAACATTCAGTATTCCTCGAACATTTCGTTACGGTACGGGAAGTTCCAGCAATTTGCCTTAAGGCACGATGCCATAATAGCCTCAAAACAGAATTGCACTTGCAGCTAGTTTTAACTCTGGTTTATTTAGCAATCAGAGATACATAATGATTCCTATAAGCTAAAATGACAATATTTTATATTTCTTGAAAATATTATTTCAACCTGATTTATATATTAATTCCTTTATTTCGTTTTTTTTCTATGAATTTATTTTTTTACAGTATTTTATGATAAGGCTCCTAATTATTATTTCTGGTGAGTCATTTCACCATGTCATGGTGTTAGAATTGTTTTAATCAATTCTGGGTGTGTAGTGTATAAGCAGCATTATTATTTATTATCAGCATTTTTGTTGATAACTCGTCGGCTTCGGTGTAAACGCCCAATTAGTAATTGTAATACATGGCGTATTGTTTGGTTTTCTACCGTGATTTAATTAAGTGATTGATTGGATATTTGGTAAATATTCGTAATTAAGTTGTGAGAGAAAAGAAAGCAAGCCCAAGTTAACGATGTTTCTAAAGGAAGCTTTATTCACTAGGATGGAATAATATTGGATGAAAGATTATTAAACGACTTAGAGGATAATATTATATGCAAAGTAGTTTTTTCAAGTCGCTGCTCAAATTTTTTGTTTCAAAGCGAATTTAAAAATATAATACAATATTTTTATATCGAATCAAAATTTATAACTTAGGAGACCAAAAGTTAGACCTAATTTTTGCGGAGATTTCTGCTACTACCAATATATGGTGATAGAATAATGTCCTTATATAATTATGCACAGAAATCAATTTCAATTATTTTTTATGGAAGTAAGTGCTACTGAACAGTGAAAATTAATTTTCGATCATTTTTTAGAATGCTAAAATTTACCAAAAATCTAAATATTTTGAAAACTAAAATATTGTATTTTTGAATATGAGTATTTGTGCGAAGGTCCTTTCTATTTTTATGTGAATTACAAATTTAACAAGTTAACATCAGTAAAAAATCCACATTAGCCATGGTAACTCTATTAGTTAAGTGTCATTTTGCCTTAAGGCAAGTTGCATGAACTTCCCGAAATGTATAATAATTGACTTATTCAATAGAAATTGAGATTTAGATATTTAGATGAAATTTTCAACTGCACGATATTAAGCATATCGTGTACCATTGATCTATTTAATGATTTTAAATAATTGTAACATTTTTTACACAACTAGAGAAGTTTTGAAGGCTTGTTTTTTCGCTGATTCCAAGAAAATAGCTTTTGTGATATTCAAATTTTGGTTCATCACATTACAAAAGCGAGTTTTAACACAATTTCTTGCGAATATTAGGCTTAAAAAGATTTATAAAAGCAAATAAAACAGAACAACTGACATTTATGTCAATTTCATCATTTCCAAAAAATTGTTTTTTCTTATTTACTTTTCATATTTTTTCACCAGATCAGTTTTGTGCTTCTAAATTCTTTATTGAATTGAGCCAATTATAAAACAAATACTCTATTCGTATTGAGAATACGAAATTTTAATAATCATATATTTTTTTACTATTTTTAAAATTTTTTTTTAAATTTTTTATATATTCAACCTCTGAAAGATTCGTATTAAAAATTTACAGAAAATCACAATAAGCATTAATAATTTAAGTAAGATTTACATTAGTATTAACTGTGATTAATTGGTGCTGATTAGTTTCTGGTAGACACTCTTAATTTGTTGTAGAAAAAATTGAATTTTGCACAGTTATAAATAAAAAGTTCATTTATAGAAATCCTTCTAGAATCTAGATGTTGAAAAATATGCCGAGCAAAAATTTTAAAATTTTATTGTCATAATTTTATAAGACTCAAATATATTCTATTTTTATACACATATTTCGGAAGTTTCTGCAACTTGCCTTGAGGCAATTTATCACATACACCTTGTTCTTTCAATACTTCATGAATCGACTTTACTAGAAATTTATTTAGTAATTTATACATTTTTTTATATTTACTTATATTTAATTGATTCAATATCTTAATTAGATAGATGATAAATAACTAGTGGTGTATGGCATCGAGCCTTAAGGAAAATTGCTAGAACTTCATGTACCGTAGTGAAATGTTTTCAAATAGATTGTTATAAATATTGTAACATTGTCTAATATTTATAAGAATTATATAAACTGAATTGCAAAGTTGAAATTATTTGTTTAAAGTATATTAAAACTTCACAAATTAATTCACATTAATTAATTACAATTAAAATCTGAATTATTTTTGATATAGAAAAAAAAATTAAAAAAGAATTTGAAACAATTTTTTTTTCAAAAGCAATTATTTTGTTGAAACAAGCAGAAAGTTCTTTGAATCATTCAAATCGGACTCTTAGTTCACTCAAAAACTGCCATTTGTTGCACATTTAGCTCTGTATCTCCGAAACGGCTGGACCTGCCTTTGCCAAAAACTAATCACCACTTCTCCCCGTCATTACGAATTGAATGTTTTTTCAAATTTTAATAATTTTGTTCAAATTATTAGTTTTAACGTACGATCATTCTTGTTGCTTTCAAAATTAAAATTCAAGTAACTCGTGTTGTTTAATAATTTAAAATAATCATAAAATAGACATAACGAGTGATTAATGTCGCTTTGATGCAAATGCTGCAAATGCACGACGACTCGCTCGTGGTGACATTTTACCGGCAGTGACTTAACCCAACTATATACAAATATATATGTAGATATACACATGTATACACATACAGTTACAGGTGTGTGTTATCTAAAGAATTATATATTTAATTAAGTTAAATGACGTAATAATAAACGCTGTCCCCGATTCCCTCGTGCTGATGCTCGTGCAATAATGATGATTACTTTAGTACGATAAAGAATGCGCACACTGATCCACGCCGAAGACCATTACTATACTATTCATATTCATTACATACTTGGAAAATATTTATTCCACATGGACATAGATATGGAACATGGATGAATTGACTTGTTTCCATGAACTTGACCTAAAGTAAAAGGTTTGATGAGTGCATTATGGTACGAAATTGGTCCAACCTGGTATATAAACAGGATCAGATACATGAGTTCTTAGGAAAGGACCTTAGCGTCTGTAAAATCCTGGATCGAATCAAAATTGGAAAAGGAAAGAGTGCTATAGAAAGACTTAAAGGACAAGAATTAAGTAAGATACAGATGATAAGAGAGATCTGAGCCTATTTTTTTCAGTAAAGTTTGGTTTCTTATTTGCTTGATCATTATTAGACATCGTTGTTTACGTTGTTTAGCTTGTTAATTATTAGAGTCTCTTTACCGGATATAATGATTTTATTGGTTTTGCCTTAAGACTGAAAATAAAGGGTCAAAAAGGATGAAGATGTTGGACTTACCTTAAGGACACCGGCATACGAATGTAGAAGTTTGAGAACCACTAACCAGAGGGTTGAATATTTTTTTTATAATATTTTTTTTCAAATATATCTTATCTTTGAACAATATTGGAGAAGAAATAAATAAAGAAATCTATACGTTTTCAAATAATACACACGTTAAAATTAAGCACATTTTTTTAGCACTAACGGATTTAACATTACTTCTTATGAATATTATAATCTTGACCAATATGAATAAAAACACATCAATCTCTTTAAATTTTTTATAAATGTTTCAAAAAAACAAATAATTTTAGAAAGATGTAAATACTGGGAATTTTTGAAGACGCCTATAAATTGCTCGTTTAAGGGGGTTTTCTAGTCTAGAGGCATGAATTTTATGTGATTTTTTAAAAGTTGTAAAAAAGGGCAACATCTTTTCACTGACAATTTTTTTATATGTTATTAATTAATGCTTTGAGAAAAAAAATGAATGTTATAAATAGTCAACAAGTTTTATTTCTAGCAAGTGTTGAAGCGGGGTATCTCAAAAATTTTAGGTGATTTACTACTTAAAATAATTAAAATCAAACTCAAAAATTCTTCACCACATTTTTGTTATAATATATAGTAAAAATAGTTTATAATATATAGTAAAATTCGGAATTTGGGAATGAGCGAAGTTAATACTAATGGGAAGTTTTTAGAAAAGTCTAAAAAATTTCAATTAAATCGCTTCAGTAAAAGTTGAAAAATCGTGGGTGTCGAAATTATCAAGCTGATAATAATTTGAATTTTGAAAAATCTTTTTGAACACATGTCTTTGAATAGTTGAACTTCGAAAATATCAAAGAAAAAAATGATACCTTAAAAATTCTAAGCCAAAATTTGCCCCTTCAAGTGTAAAATTATAGCTTTTTTTGAAGATTGTGAAAAATTACAAATGTTTACTTCTTAGTGCAGAATTGTTCTAACCTGTAATCCTGGTCAACTTGTAATTTTGATTATTCTACCCAGTAACTATTGTTTAAAAATTGGATAAATTCCAGAGTTTTAACGATGAAAAATACTAATTTTAACTTATTTCACACTATATAATGAAAAGTAACATCAGCTCTTGGGCAACATGCAATTGATTTCAATTATTTGTGTAATCATTAACTAACCGACTAACGATTGTTTGAAAAAAAAAAGACAATTGTTAGATTTGTCATTCATGAAAAATATTTGAATTAGGATTTGATAATTATTTGGTCCTTGGACTACATGTAACTTTTGTCAACTTGTTATTTGAGTTATCACGTCATTACTATTCAACTGAGCATCTATTGGGAAAGGGATATTGTCAATTTTTTTAATGACTAAAATAGCGTCAGGTAGAATTTTATACGATCCGAGTAATATTTCAGCATCTTATATAACATCCGAAGAAAATTTTATGTTGCAAAACATGTAATTTTGGTCGTATAATTCTTGGTCAACTTATATATTTTGATTCGACAAATATCCGGAATTGATGTCCAACCATCAGCCATAACTTTCTTCAAAATCAAACTAAACCAAAATAAATGGTAGCTTATTACATATATCCGTATCCGTAAATATAAATATAAATAAATATGGCCCAGTTATTTGGTGCAAAAAAGCTGTTGCCGTAGAAGTTTTTTGGAAGTTTTGAAAATTGGTGATTTTGTAGATTTTCATGTGATATTTACAAATTTCAACTTTGCGACTTCGAATTTTCGTCGTTGCCGCCGCCATGTTTGAAAAATTACGTCAATTTTTGAAATCGTTAAAAAACTGATTTTCGACGCAATTTTTCAAACAAGGCCATTTTTTAAAATGAAAAGAATGGAAATGGCAATAAAATGGTAATAGGAATAATAAGCAAGGGAGGAAAAGACAATCATTGACATGTGGTGCTCTCATATCATACTCCTGCCTTCGGGCAGACTACTATTTATATCTTTATACTATTTATATTATCACTATTAAAAGCTTATAAAATTGTATTAGTCCAGTGATTTAAGGGGGCGTCCATTAATCACGTGAGGTTTTTAGGGGGAGGGGGGGTTTGACAAAAAATCACGAAATATCACGTGTGGGAGGGAGGGGTATAGCAAGATATCACGTGTATTTATTTTTTTTACTATTTTTTATAAAAACGTTCGAACATTTAAAAAAAAAATCAAAAATTTTACAGTTTTTTCACGTAAATAAAATACACGTGATGTTTGGTGGGGGAGGGGGGGTAATTTTGAATAACACCAAATATCACCAAGGGGGAGCGGGGGTCTAAAAATCCTTAAAAACTCGCTCACGTGATTAATGGACGCCCCCTAAGCTTAAACTAGGTAAGAATCTCGGAATTCGACATGCCCAGCTGTAAGTCTGTAAATACTTGTATATTGACATCCTAAAGCTGTCTCAAAATCTACATATGGTAGGGCGTACGCAACATATGTAGGTTTTGAGACAACTTTACGGTGTCAATATACAAGTATCTACAGACTTACAGCTGTTTATCTCGAATTCTGAAGTGAACTTACTATAATGACTGGACTATATTATATTAACCAAATATCAATGAAAAAACCTTTCAGATTATAATTATCTATATTTTCCTCCCCAGGTTCGTCAGTATAGCCCGCTACCTGCTCGAGCACGACGCCGACTCGTCTCTAGTCAACAGCGACGGCGAATTGGCGCTCGACATCGGCGAATCGGACGCGATGCGCAGCCTGCTGCGTGCCGACGCCGAACGGCGAGGAGTCGACGTGGCCGCAGCGAGGGCGCGAGAGGAAAGGGTCATGCTCGAGGACGCCAAGCGGTGGCTCAGGACGGGCGAGTGCGGCGATAGGCCGCACCCGAGGACGGGGGCGACAGCGTTGCACGTGGCGGCTGCCAAGGGATACACGAAGGTAGAAGAATAGATAAATAGGAAGAGGAAGACATATATACATTATTGGAAATCTTTTGATATGTAGAAACAAACACTTTTTAAGATTTATTGATTTTATTAACTTCCCGAAGGAGAAGTTTATGTTTTCATCAAACAATCCGAATCGCTAATTTTATGTTTTCTCGACGTTTCGAGCCATTCTGAATCGAATGAGACCAACATTTGGAAAAAGTATGTGTGTGCGTGTGTGTGTGTGTATGTGTGTGTGTGTGTGAACAGATTTTTTGCCGTAAATCGACGTTTTCTCTAAAACGGCTGGACCGATTTCAAAAATTTAAAAGCCATTTGATGTATCTCGATGAGGACTATCGTCTCTGAGTTTTGTGCGGCGATCGGCCGGGCCGCTTCTTTGTAAATTGCAGAAAAGTGAAAAAATTTTCGTCCACGTTTTAGCCCGCAATTCTGAATCGATTCTGAAAATTCAAAAACCGTTCGATAGATATTGGTTGGGAATCGTGCTGATTAGTTTTTGGTCAAGATCGGCGGGGCCGTTTTCTTGTAATAAAGTTTTTAAAAAAAAAATTCGACGATTTTTATGATTATTTTTTTGACGATAGATACCATAGTTTTCTAGGCCATACTAAAATATTACGGCTCTACGACAACTGGTTCAGCTTTAAAAATTCGTCAAAGTTTGCAAAAATCAGTATGGTCTTTTTGGCATTTGTCAAAATTAGACTTTTGATCGACGTTTTCTCAAAAACGCCTGAACCGATTTTAGAAATTTAAAAGCCATTTTAGAAATTTGTGCAACGATCTGCCAAGCCGTTTCTTTGTAATTTGAAAAAAAAAGTGTTAAACTTTTCGTCCACATTTAAGCTCATCCTACCGAACCGAATTTAAAAAATCAAAAACTGTTCGAAAGATATTAGTTGGGAATGATACTGATTAGTTTTAGGTGAAAATCTACCGAGCCGTTTTCTTGTAATTAACTGTTGAAAAAAAGTGTTAAACTTTTCGTCCATATTTAAGCTCATCCTACCGAACCGACTTTAAAAAATCAAAAACTGTTCGAAAGATATTAGTTGGGAATGATGCTGATTAGTTTTAGGTGAAAATCTACCGAGCCGTTTTCTTGTATTTTACTGTTGAAAAAAAAATTGAACCGATTTTTATGGAACTTTTTTCGGCGATATATATCATGGTCTTATAGAACTTACTGAAATATTGCGGCCTTACGACCAGTAGTTTAATTTTAAAAATTCATCAAAGTTTGAGAAAATGATAAGTTTTTTTATGTTTGTTAAAATTAAAATTAGACAATTTACTTAGTATAACGATATAGTACTCGGTTTTGATGTACATACTAAACCATTAAAGTCCTATGGATTTTAAAAATTATTGATTTTTGAAAATTTGTTTTTAGAAAATACTCCGAGTTAACGTGATCGTTCGTTTTCAAATGTGTGTAATAATTCCTCTCGGAATACTTTTAATGACTCATAAATTAATTTATTTTTTATTGATTAAGTCGATTAATTGCACATCTCGGGAAGTTCATGTAACTTGCCTTAAGGCTAAATACCAAACCAACTAGTTTTAAATAGTAACTTACATGATTGGAGTGTTGATATTTTAGTCTATACTTGTTGACGATTTAATCATAACTGCCCCTCCCGCTCTATAATAATCTGTTTTACTAGATTCGATCCTTATTGTACGAATAAGGGTCGATTTATAAAAGTTTTATATTAATATTAGATTTGGTGCTGAACTAATAACAAACATTCTTTTTTTAGGTTTTAGGTCTATTACTGCCAGGATGGCCCGATATAAACTGCCAAGACAATGACGGTTGGACGCCACTACACGCGGCGGCACATTGGTGTCAGAAACAGGCGGCCCTTTCACTAGTGGACGCCTTGGCCGACATGGATACAAAAAACTATGTTGTAAGTATACAATAAATTTCAGTAAAACTTCAAACCTTACATAAAATACAATGGAATTGATATGAACTTGTTCGTTTATAATAATCTCGAAAACATCGTCACTATAAACAGTATAAACCCTTAACAAAGGTAAATTGTAATATCCTAATAACTGCCTAGTCCAAATTTTATAACAAATTTTATTTTGATGAAATATCTGAAAATAGTCCTTTTGTTCAAGATAAATTATTTTATCTTACGATATACAATTTCTAAAATAATATAATTTTCTATAATTATAGCACACTACTTACACAAATCATTTTTATACTATATATTGCATTTGACTAGCCAGATGATTTTATATACTTATTGCATTAATTATATAATCTTATATATACAAATAAATAGCAAAATGTGTTGGTAAGCGCATAACTCAACAATGCCTGGACCAATTTGGCCAATTCTTTTTTTCAAAATGTTGTTGATGTCCAAAGATGTTTCTTACGGCGAGAAAAAAACGAATAATTGTCGGGAAAACCCTAAAACAGCCCTTTTCTTTTTCTCATACAAACGTTTTCAAACTAAAACGTAGAATCAATTTGAGCCTCATTGCTATTATATAAAGTTCATATTAAATTACAAGCACTCACTATATACTCCTAAACGATTATTCGGATTTTGATAAATCTTTCTGAAGTTTGTTAAGGAAATTTTCTAGAATGTATGTAATTATAAAGTACTGGGATGCACGCCTTAGGGACGCCAACACAAGATTCGGATATTAAATTTTCAATATAGTTTTTTTTTCAATATATAATTTCTTTGCATCTTTTACTAATGTTTCCACAATATTTTTAAAATTCGTAAAAATTTAACTTTTTAACAACAAATGGGAAAATAAAGATGAATACATAAAATTCGGCCCTCACGATATCGATTAAGAGAAGTGTAAGATGCAATTTTAGATATCTTAAATAATAAAAAATTAAATTAATTTAATCCAACATGAAGTGCCAGTGCTATGTTATGCTTATGGTTATGTTATACCGTTTAAAAGATTTCAATTTCCAATATAGTGTAGGAATTGAGACTCATCATTTTATTTAAAGCAATTCTACATTTAACATCGCTCATATTGTAAATGTATATGCATTTGGCGTGAAGAATAATTTTAGGTTGACGGTAAATATTAGTATATTATATTAAAAAATTGTAGACATGGGTATAGGACAACGTCTGCAGGGTCATCTAGTATGTATATAAATAATTACATATATTTCTATTACCAGGGTCAGACATGTTTCGACGTCGCCGACATCGACATGAAAGACTACTTAGAGGAATTACGCGGCAAACAGATGCTGAATAACCGAGACTTGCTTCTTCGCAAGAAGCAGGCGCAGGCCGCCAAGAGGAGGCCGCCTGCTGCAAACAACCAGCAGCAGAACAACGCCGCCAACGTCCAATCTCCGACGCAGGCGGAGACGCCGAACAAATTGATCAAGGTCGAGATCGAGAATTCGGCTTCTACGACTGATGATAACATGATAGGTAATGATAAAGGAATTAGTAATAGATAGATAGAATATTTATCCGAAGACATGGTTTATATGAATCGAATATTTTAGAATCGATTTTTGAGTCAAACCAATTAACTGATACAAGTTTGTTCGGAAGAATTAGTCAAATGAAATTAACAAACTTGTTTAAAAGTAATTTTATTGTTCTCTGAATTACTATTAAAATTTGGCTGTTACAATTATTTTTAATTATTTCTAATCAATTTTTACACGCTGCTTTTACTTAATAATTGACATAAAAAGTGTCGATAACCCTTCCGGAACCAATTGAAGTGGATTATGATTCTGACCCCGACACAGAATCCACTGAAAGCACTGCCTCTTCTTGTAGTTACGATAGTGACAAAAATAATGAACCAGAAAATAATAATGGTTTGTATTCGAATGTAAGAAGGTTATAATAGTTGTATTGTATGTAAAGGTTCAGAATAAGATTTGAATACATTTTTTAGTTTTATGTAATACTCGATTAGTATGAATTATAATTTTTAAATTAGATACAATTATTATTAAGATAAAGCCATTGATTACATTTGGTAATTTCATGTAATAACTTTTTGACTGCCTCTTCCTAATATTCAATTATGCAATTTTTATAATTCCTAAAGATTTTATTTATTCATAAAAAATCATTTATATTAAGATAGGTTTATATGTTAAAAATTTATTATTTTTCATACACTATTTTTGTCATTTTGGATTAAAAATTCAAAAAATTACCCAGGCTAAGCACAGTCTAAGCGCCACTCTGGTACAAATGTTCACCCGAGTGCGTTTAGACTGTTTATGTACTGGAGCACTTTTTCATTTTCCGTGAAAACTATTGAAAAATGTGAAAATGCCGCCAAGCTAAGCACAGTATAAGTGAAAATGTCGCACAGAATCATTTGCAAATGCGTTTAGACTGTGACTATACGGGAGCACTTTTTCAATTTTGTGTAAATTAGGTAATTAGTATTTTTGATTGAATTCGAAATGAAATGACGATTGTTAATGTTCTGGAGATATATTGATTTATTTATAATTTACATTTGATTTGCTCAGATATAACAAGGTAGCAAAAATAATGAAAGTTCCAGTTTTTGTAATAATATATTTGAAAACGTTTTAAATTTGCCTTAAAGGACGATGCCATACACCACTAGTTTTTTATCATATTCTAATCAATTATCCTGTTTCTAGAAATGAAAAACAAAGTGATCACACCGCCATCCTCGCCTAAAATAGAACAAAAAATTGATGACAACTCTGTTCAATTCAGAAGGCCCAATACGCTACAGACAACAAATCAATTTGAAAAGGAAAATACATCTAGGACAATTAATGCACGTAAGTCATTTTAATGAAATCTCATTTTTTTATTTTGATATAATAATAATAATGCTTAAAAATCTTTGGAATTTGGAGTTTTTCCTTTTTTTGTCGCTCGAATGAATGAATTATTGACATATTGAAGCCTTCGGGTTAAATTGAATTACAATTGTGTAAGAGAGAATTATAACGAATTCATTTTTTATTTTGGCAATAAGAACAATACTTAAAAATGTCCAACAGTATGGACATACTATATTTTTTTTTATTATCTTCCCGTTACCCTACGGGGTTATAGTAATCGCAAAAAAATCGAAAATGTAATTTATTTTATATCTTTATGTTTCAAAGGTTTCTGAACATTTCTGCATACCTTAAGTATTTGTGTGTGTTTGTATGTTCGGACACAATTTTTCGTCGACGATTTCGGGAACACGGATCAACCGATTTGTATGATTCCAAAGCATTAGATCCTTATTGATAAGGAGACGTGCTGATTAGTTTTTGGCGGAGGTAGGGCTGGCCGTTCCGGAGATACGGAGCAAAGAGTGCAGAAAATACAAATCGAGTTCTTGAGATAACGAAGCGTCCGATTTGAATGATTCAAAAAACACTTTACTTGTATCGACAAAAGAAAAAACTGATTAAATTTTTTAGAAAGCAGGCTTAGCGATTTCGGAGATACAATGAAAAAACTTATTTGACGGTCAAAAACGATCATTATACATTTTTTAAAGATTTTTAATAATGAATACAAATTTTGCTTACAATTATATGGGTTCCGTACCAAGATTCAAAATATTTAACCCTTAAACCGCGGCGTGGCGCTTACGCGCTTTATTGTTTGTATCTAAAATAGCTACAACTTTCAAAAATTTATTTCATTCATTCATTTTTCAGAACAGTCTCATTTTTACAAAAAATTCAAAGTTCCAAAAATCAAAATGTTTCGCAGTTTTCCAAAAATGACAAATCTTTAAAAAATTCTATATTATGGCGCGGAAAGTGCTAGCAATTTGCGTTAAGGTTCGATGCCATATTGTAGTCTTTGATTAAATGTTCTGATTTTAATTTAGTTTAATATTAATTAATTTTTTTTTTAGAGAAAGAAGAAAATAGTACAACTACTGAAAAAGATTCAGATGTGGTGCTCAGGCGGACACAGAGTTTCGAAGCTGATGACAAGTCAGTATTGATACATAATTTTATTACTAATTTATGATAAGCTCTGATATAAGAATAAATAAATAAACCATAAGCCTTATGCAATCTTTGCACAAAACATAAAAAATAATTAAATTTTTTGATATACAAACAAAAGTACTATTGACTTAGAGTTGATACAATAATTTGAAAATATGTTATTCTTTTCTATTTTTGTTTTGTTTTGTGCAAAAATTGTATTCCTATCTCCGGGCATTTCAAACCTGTTTTTTAAGGTACGTAAAATTTAAAAAAAGAAACTTTTTAATACTACATTACTTGGCTTGCTGTTTTCATAACACTTGCCTGACCCTGGTTTGGTGACGACGATAATTCTAATTTAATTCATTGTTTTTTTTTAACATGCATGTGCTTGCCTTTCGATTTTTTTACCATTTTTTTTAGAAATATTCTCTTGAACTTGAATCATTTTTTTTAAATCAACTAATCGAATGATAAAGGATATATAATTTTATTATATATCCTTTAATCATTTAAACCAAAATTTTATTTTATCTAACATTGTAAATAAATAAACAAGAAATAGTTTAGGAAAATCGATATTAACTGCAATTTATCTATATTTTTCGTTGCTTGACAGATACTAAAATCTATATTTTATTTAAATCAATATTTTAATTTGATATAATCAACCATTTGTTCCAACTGTTTATATATCTCAGTTTCAAATTATTTTTTGTTCAAGAGTTTGATTTTAATTCGAAATGTGGAAAATTGCTTGAAACAGCTCTTGATTTCAATTGAGAAAACTTTTTGTTTGATAAGTAAAATTATTTGTACCTGATACTATTCTTCAAAAGTCTATTAAAATACGAGAAATAAATCAACGCAAATAATTGCTCTTCTTACATTGATAAACAATAATTTAATTAAATAATAATAAAGCATACAAAGCAGTTAATTTATATTAATAAAAATATTAAATTAAAGCAATTGGAAAGATAATTGATTAAAATTGATTAAAATTGATTAAATAAAAAGATAAGAAAGCAAAAGCAAAGAATGAATCGATTTAATTCTAATAAAACATAAGTCTCGAATTACAATACACCTTAAAAGATAAATAATACGAAAGTCAATATAAAATTTGATTCAATCCTATTTACAATGCGTATAATAGCTATTATTAGACAAAAAATTCCACAAGAAGTATAAATTAATTTTGACTCAAGTCAATTTAATTCCAAACATTTTTTTTACATTTTTCAATCCGCATGTTTTATTTCAAATAATTGTTATCGATTTAAGCACATGCATGTATTGAACGTTTTTCTCATTTAATAAATTTCTTCAGAATTTCAACAATAAACCAACAACCAACAATCATTACCTTAGCGATTAAAAATTATTTTAAGAACAAAATAATCGATAATTTTTTATTTATTTTTAATATTAACGAGGTAAATCACACTCAAACCTGCAAAATTTATTTGCTGTTCCTATTAACCATTCGACTGCAAGTGTCTCCTATAGACGACATCCACATAACGACCTGTATGTACGGACATCCACACGTACTATAGACGACATCCGCGTGAATACCACTTTGTACACAAATTTAATAGCCATTTTAAAACATTTGTACGAGCGTCGTCTTTAGATGACATACAGTATCTTGACTCTTGCTACTAAAATTATCACTATTCTTATTAATTATTCAACTGCGAGTGTTACCTATAATAGACATGCACATTATGACTTATGTGTACGGGTGTCAACTATAGACGACATCCGCATGAATACTACTTTGTTCACCATCTTTACATACATCTAATAACACTAGATCAAATAGTATAAAAAATTAAACAAATGACTTGCTTTATTTTTAAAACATTTGTACGAGCGTCGTCTTTAGATGACATGCAGTGTGTTGACTCTTGTTATTAAATTTATCACTACGAGTTAAATTATTAAGAATTTTAATTTGTTTTTGTAATTTTATTTTTTCAAAAGTGCATTTTTTTAAATTGTTGAATACATATGTTAAAAAATGATATCGCTAAAAGTTTTAGGCGAATTATTTGTTTGTAAAAAAATAAATAATATCAATGAACATATTGACAACTTTTTCAATAAATACATATTTGAAAAAAGAGTATTGTTTACATAAAATATTTTGAGATTTTCTTATAATTTTCAACGAAATCGTATTTAAAAATTAAACTTTGCATTTCTAAATGAATATAAGTCACATAAACATATTGAAATTCTTAATAATTTGACCCAATGTGATAAATCTTGAAGCAAAAGTCACGCACGGAACGTCGTCTATAGGCGACACTCGTATCAAAAGAGTTAATATTTTACACAAAAACATGTATATACTAAATTGCAAATAAATTTTAAAACCTTGTTTAAGTGTGATTTACCAATAGCTTTTTAATTTATCCAAAATACATTTACATTAGTGATGTGCCGACTCGATTTTTATTATTCTAACCAGAAAAAAGCATGATTTGAATCAAATCGTATCGATCTTATATATATGGACAAATATAAACTAAAGCAAAAAAAATAGTCGGTAGAGTCCCTTTTTATCTTGTAGTTTGCTGTTCAATTTGCTCGTCAGTAGAGTCCCCTTTTCCTTCTTCTAGATCAGGGCTTCTTAACTTTGGGTCGCGACCCCAAATTTAGGAAAATTCTTGGGTCGCAAGAGTTTTTAATGTCAATCATTTATATCATTTTATAACACGTCTAGGTTTATGTACCTATAGTTTTACAACGAATTCTAAAACTGTGTATTCATATGTATCTGTATATGTATATTGTTACCAATAAATAAATTATTTGAAAATACTATTTTTTCGCAATCATAAATGGGGTCGCGAAGGACAAAAGTTTAAGAAGCCCTGTTAGAGAATAATATAAAAGTTTGCTCGTTGGTAGAGCCCCTTGTTTTCAAATCAATTTTTAATGTACCCCTTTTCCATATTCTAGATCAATATAAAAGTTTGCTAGTTAGTAGAGTCCCATTTTTTCACCTTTTAGTTTGTAATTTAATTTTCTTGTTAGTAGAGTCCTTTTTCCATATTCTGGGTCATAAATAAAGTTTGCTAGTCAGTAGAATCCCCCTTTCATCCTCTAGTTTGTAATTTAATTTGTTCGTGATTAGAGTTCCTTTTTCAAATTCTAGACCAAAATTAACATTTTTTAGTCAGTAGAGTTCGCTTTTTATCCTCTAGTTTAGAATTTAATTTGCTCGTCAGTATAGTCCATTTTTTCATCTTTTATTATGTAATAAAAGCTTCTTCGTCAGCAGAGTCCCTTTTTTCATCTTCCAGTTTACAATTTAATTTGCTTGTCAGTATAGTTTTTTTTTCCATCTTCTAAATCAAAATAAAAGCTTCCTCGTCAGTAGAGTCTCTTTTTCATTCTCCATTTTGCAATTTTATTTGCTCGTCAGTAGAGTCCCGTTTTTCATCTTATAGATCAATATAAAAGTTTGCTCGTTGGTAGAGTCCCTTTTTTAGCTTCCGATATACAATTAAATTTGCTCGTCAGTATAGTCGTTTTTTTATTTTCTAGATCAAAATAAAATTGATATTTTATAATAAAGTCAATAATTTATTAAATAATCTTTATAAGATTTTGTTAGTATAATCTTTCTTTTCTTAAGGATTTTCTAATAATTGTCCTAAAAGTGAAGTCGGTTGGCTGGAATGATTTAATTCATTTTTTTTGTATTTATATTTAGCAAATATTCCTAGGCTTGATATGAGTTGATTCCAATCAAGTAAAACCTGATTCAAATCTCAGGAATGATTAAAATAATTTAACTCGACTCGGCACATCACTACTTTATATTAATAAAACCTAATTTTAATATCTTAATTTCTCTCTCCATTAACACCAACATCCGCTGCGAAACCAACAAATCCAAACAAACAAAAACATCATCACAAATCGCGCATGCTGCCTGCATCTCAATCTCAAAATGTGTGTGTGGTTTGGTCAATGTAACAAATTTTTGCTGCTGCTAACATCACAAAATCTAATCGGCGACTGGGGCCACATAGATTTTACCGCCGTTACATGGAACTTCACGCCAGGATAAAGGCCTCCTCCTGCCCATCAATACCGTCACCCGTCGGAGCAGCGGTGACGCCGACGGCGACTTCGCAGAGTTGCGCGGACGTCACCGCCGCCGCAGCAGGGAATAATATCAATATCAATAGCAGCAGCAGGGTGACGGTCGGTGGTAAGGCGACGCAGGCGGCGGCGCAGGCCGTCGCTAATGCGACGACGGGACCGGTTCAGAGGTCGGCTTCGCTAAGGGATCACAGGGTACTGAGGTAAAGGATAATGATAGTGGTTGATTGAGGGTGAAAATGGTGAAGGGTGAAGAAAAAAAGAGTATTGTTTATAATATTGCTATTAATCTAATAACACCGTGACAGATGTTTATTATGCAATATTGAATATGTAGCAGGTATGGCAAAACCATCGGTCTTCAAACTTATACCAATTTGTTTTTGTACTATTTGACTTCAAATTAGATTTTCTACTCACTTGTATCGTGCGTAAACGCGAAGAAGTTTTTTACTAAAGGCATTTTGAACTCAAGTTAAACTAGTGTAAAGTGGCATTCAGCCTTAAGGCAAGGTGCATGAACTTTTCGAAATGTGTTTAACTTGATCAACCGAAATCGAGATTTAGATTTTTAATTGCAAATCGAGATTTAGATTCACTTTGCAAATAGTTTTTGCTTTCATTTAGAACCTCAATTTGCGTTCAATTATCTAAACACTGCATTTTCTAATTGATATCTTTCAAACACATTTATAATATTTGTGATTAATATATTAACTAGTTGAAAGTGGCATTTAACTTTAAGGCAAGTTGCATGAACTTCCCGAAATGTGTAAGAATTGACTTAATCAACCGAAATTGAAATCTATATTTAGATAAAATTTTCAACTACTCATTTCGAAAATACTTCTCGCTTTCACTGAAATGTAAACATTGCGATAGAATTGAATTTTCTCAAACAATTTTTAATTTTTTATGATTATATCAATTATGGTGCACATACACGTGTGTTTATATGTCCTAAAATTGTAGCTTGTTATTCCAAATTTTTCCAAAATAAATTGACAATGTTTGACTCATCACATCATAAAAGCAACTTTTGATACAAATTTTGCCTTCTATTATTATTTTTTCAATCTTTGATGGATTTTTAGAATTCATTTTTTCATGAATTTTGAACGAGTTATAGTAGGGCCGTAAAATTTCAGTATGTACTTTAGGACCTGATATGATATTTTTTATTGTTTTATTTATCTATCTATAGAAGATATCTATCAAAACTAGTTGAAAATGGCATTTAGCCTTAAGGCAAGTTTCATGAACTTTCCGAAATGTGTTACAATTAACTAATTCAACCAAAATTGAGATTTAGATATTTAGATGAAATTTTCAACTGTTTATTTCGAAAATCAATTTGGCTTTTACCTAAATCTCAAAAACACATTTAAATTTTTTTGTAGTTATATTAATTATATTGCATAGACTCGTGCCTGTATGTCCTAAAATTGTACCTTATATTTTCAAATTTTAATCTTATATATAAAATTCTCGTGTCGCGGTGTTTGTGATTAAAATCCTCCGATACGGCAGGTAGGTGTGAGAATTGCACATCTATTTTTCGAAACTCTTTTTACTTTGACAAACTATTTATTTATTAAAGTTGCTTTCACCCCTAACTTTTTTTTTTCAATTTTGGAATCAATTTTCTTTCAAGTTTAATTTTCATAATGCAGATTTCAAAAATGCCTCTAACTCTAAATTTTCAACCTCCTTCCACAAATCTCTATTTTCCATTTTAAACCAATAATTTTTCAACACGATTTTAGTCAGAGTTTTTTACTGATCTTATTATAAAGCATGAATTTTACTTAAAAAAAAAAACAATTTATTTTTGTCAAGGTTTGTCCACGCGTCTCATTTTCCCACATATATTTTGCAAAAAAGTAGAGAGATTGAATATCAAAATTTGAAGATACGATAATTTTTTATACGGAACTATAGCTACCTTACAAATCTATGGCAAAGCTGTAAGGTTTTCAATTTTTCTGTAAGGCTCTCAATTTTTGTCAATCTTCGTCAATTCGCTGGGCATGCCACATAATAATATAATTGAATTAATATAATGAATTATCAGATTTTGCTTCGTGATTCAAAAATTACTAAGCACTATATCAAATATATATCAAAATCTTGAAACTTCAAATGTGCCAATTCAATTTAAGTAGAATCAGTTTAAGATTAGGTTGGCTCTTGCAAAGACTATTAGGGGACATTTATATATGGTATACTTTGCAGTGGGTTAGTTATTTTCGTACTAATAATTTTAAACTAGAAATATTTTTAATGTTAAAATAATTTTGAAGTTATTTCATAAGCATAGTTCAATTATCTTCAAAAGAAAACTTGTCAAAAAAATTTATTTCAACTAGTTTTTCATAACTGCCATATACTTTATTGCAAATAATTATTTACAAAATAGTCACATCAATGAAGAAATTTGTACTTTATTTTTATATTAATTATTTCTAATGTTTATACTAAATTTTTAGGCGAGCTGCAATCGAGGCCGCAATTGCTGCTTCAACAGCTGCTGCTGCAAACACTCAGCGACATACAATCAGCACAACGACACCATCCATCAGAAGGTAATAGATTTTTTTTATTTATAATATTTTAATATTGGTGATGGAATGATAATCGGGTGAAATATACAATCAAACTTTTTACAATCAAATGACTAAAAAAAGATAAATATTGTCGTTAATAGATATTTTGAATAATTAAAATTCTGTCTATTATTTGCGAAATTAAGCTATATACATGCAAATATATTCTTAATTTTATCGTTAAACAAATTATGAAGTTTAATCAATCAATTTATTGATTATTCCTTTTATTTGAAAATTTTTAGATGACTTTCGTTAAATTAAACCGAATATTAGTATGGGCTGTATCTTGAGTTTTCGAATTGGTTATGAATGAAAAATTTGATTGTAAAGAGTTGTTAATTTAATAGGGCTAAAATTGCATATTGAGGGTTTATTCGTAGATATTTTGAGAATGATATATATTCTTAGTTCTGGATAGATTAATTAGTATGCATAAACATTAGGTGTAATTAGAATTATAGTATTGGTGAGGGTGGTATTGAAATAATATACACTCATATTAGCCATCGATTTGTTTAATCTTCAAATTTTCAAGAATATTTTCGATTTTTAATTTTACTCGACTTCGTTAATGCTGAGAATAAATAAGTAGGTATTTAAAGTATGTTTTCGATTGGGGATATAGTATTTCTTTTCAAAATCAATTTATCAAATGTTTTATTTATGTGATGAAAGTGATATTTGTTATTTTATAAGTTTACGCATATCACACGATAAAAATGAATTAATAAAATTATATTTTCGCTAATTTAGAGTAATTTGTTGCGATGCAGCTATATATTTAGAATGTCACAACTTTGCTCAAGAAGTTTCACTTCAAATTAATTACACCCATACCTCGCTTTGCGTCGATTTGTTTTATTTATTGATTAGAACTTATTTTCAAAATTGCGTTGTTTTTGGTTCGAAATTTCGATATATATTTTTTGAACTTTTTGATTCTTTTTTGAAATTTAACACTATTGAAAAATTAAGGTAGAAATTTGAGTTGAATTAGAAATATTGGAACTAAATATAAACTTCAAAATTATCTAAAGCTATATATAAATATTTTACATAGACTAGAAAGGCTGTTTATCAATCATTTGGCCAATATTATTACTAATTTTGTGTGAAAGAAAGTTGAACTACAACCACCATCAGACAATCGTTAATTTTAATTAAATATTTAATAAAATAATTGATTTTATTTTTAGTATTTTTTTTATGTATGTGATTGCTACGAATATCAATCGCTGCAAGGAAATTAATTTTACATTGAAAGACTTTTTACCAAACTCTAGGATAAATTTTTGTAAAAGAAATTTGACTTTGAAGACTTGAAAGACAAGAGTTACCGTGGAGTTATCATAATGTCATTGATTTTGATTTTATTCAAATTTATTAAGTGATCATTTATTAATTGAATTCGTTTTATTTGTATTTTTATAATGTTTTTTAATCTTTCGATATGAGGATGTTCCGCGAATAACCGCTCACATAAAATATTTTATGATCTTCCAATTATTTACTGATAACCTCAATAACAAATCAAAACTTTGAATAATTTAACTCTAATAATATTGGACCAGTGGTCAAAACATTTGATGTCGTCAAGCAGATGTCGTTCATAGACGACACTCATAGTGAGTCAATACTCACTTCGTGCAATTTTTTTTAACGCCTTGAAGACCGCATCGAAAATCGTGCTTTAATCATGGGGTCCGTATCAAAAACGGTTTATTCCAGATAACACACACCGTTCACCGATAGCCACCGATATCCACGCGGTCCTGTAATGTAAGAGTGCGTTGTGTACAGGTGTTAAAGTAGTATTTTTGTAATCCTGGAATATATTTACGTGCTTAGCTAAATAAGATTTTGTTTTCGTTGTGTCCTTTCAATTCGCGTCTTGTTTTTTTCTTTTTGAACGTACCAACGCGACTCAAAGTGAGGTATATGGGTATGTCTTTTAAAAATCAAAGCAAGTGTCTATTTATCATTCAAACCTTTTCCTCCTCCTCCAACGACTATATTAGTCCGGTGACGAGCACCGCCTCCGCCGCCGCCACCGAATCTCCGGTGTCGTCGCCGGCGACGGTGGCCTCGTCGAACGCCTCGCCGACGCTGACGTTCGCCACGCCGAACGCGTCGCCGTCGCCGCAGGACCAGAGCAACATGACGACGGCGGTGTCGTCGCCGCAGACGCCGACCAAAATGTCGCCGGGGAATATTTTCAAGAACTTCTTCAAGTAAAGGGAAAATAATAAATTTGATTGAAAGCATGAAATGAGATTTTTTATGCTTTATTGCGGAGAAACAACAGAAGGCAGAATTGCATTCGATGATAAATGCCGATAGTATTTGTGTTGCTTTTACATGTTTATTGCTTTATGGGTATAATAGGCATTAGAGTCTAGTGTAAATTTTTACATCTTGTCGCAGAAACGATTGAAAACGTTTGTAGAATAGCAATTTTTGTTGAGTAGATTGAGAATAGATAAGATAGTTTTGAAAATGTAGGATTAAGTAAAAACTTTTACTTTGTTATTGACGGATATATTTCTCATCGAGTAGTCGCAAAATTTTATGTATTGAAGAGTAAACACATAATGCGTATAAAACAATGATAATTAACTTCCCGTAGGGTAGTTATAGTATTGGGCCGAAAATCGAAATGAAATTTTTGCATTTCTCGACGTTTTGATGGTTTCTGAACATTTTGGCATACCTCACAAAAAATGGATGTGTGTGTATGTGTGTGTGTGTGTATGTATGGATACAAATTTCCAGTCACGTTTTCGGGCGCACGGATCAACCAATTTGAATGGTTCAAAAACATTCGATTCCTATTGATAGGGAGAAGAGCTGATTAGTTTTTGGCAAAGGCAGGTCCAGCCGTTTCGGAGATACGAACCAAAAAGTGCAGAAAATAGAAATCGAGTTTTTGAGAGAACGGAGTATCCGATTTGAACATTCAATTTGTAATGATTGGAAGAACAGGTGATTGGTTTTTGGCAAAGGCAGACCAAGTCATTTCGAAGATACAGAGCTAATGTACAAAAAATGACAATTTTTGAGAGAACTAAGCGTCCGATTCGAATTATTCAATGAACTTTCTGCTTGTTTCAACAAAATAATTGCTTTTGGAAAAAAAAATTTTGTTTCTAATTTTTTTTTTTCAAAAAAAAAAATTTTGTATATCGAAAATAATTCAGACTTTAATTTTAATTCTGTTCTAATATACTTTAAACAAATAGTTTCAACTTGCAATTCAGTTTATATACTTCTTATAAATATTAAACAATGTTACAATATTCATAAAAATCTATTTGAAAACATTTAATATTCCTTGATCATTTCATTACGGTACGGGAAGTTCCAGCAATTTACCTTAAGGCACGATGCCATACACCACTAGTTTGCTGTTGAAATTGAAATTTAACTAGTGGTGCATGGCATCGTGATTAAAATTTTTGAGAGCTCAGAAATGAAAAATTAGATTTTTTTTTTTAAGTATTTTGAATTTTTTGAACCTTTTGAATATATTTAAAAATTTAGTTAGATTTTTTTTTTTAAATCTCTTTTTGAGAATACTGAATTTTTTAAAACATGGATTTTTTCGGAAACTGAAGTTTTTTGGATGTGTTGTGAAAATTTGAAATGTATGGTGAAAATCTTGAAGTTTTTGATACTTATTCATGTCGCTTGATTTAGATCTAGATCTAAAAAATATCTCATTTTCGACCGCCAAAAAGCATTTTTTTTAAACTTTTTTTGGATTTCCTAAACTGCTAGACTTACATTCCCAAAAATTTCAACAATTTTTCATTACGCCAATACCAATGGAATGGTTTTTGAATCATTCAAATCGGATGCTTCATTTTCGCACAATCCTAGTTCTCATTTTCTGCACTCTTTGCCACGTATCTCCGTAACGGCTGCACCTGCCTTTGCCAAAAACTAATCAGCACGTCTCGCTATCAATAGGATTTGAATTATTTTTGAATCATTCAAATTGGTTAATTAGTGCTTTCGAAAACGTCGACGAAACATTATATCCATACATACACATATACATCCATTTTTTTCTAAAATTTGCCAAAATCCTTAGAAACGTGAAGTAATGCAAAAATTTTCAATATCTATTTTTGGACAACTATTATGACTTTACCCTATAGAAAGTTAATCATCACTGTTTTGTGCGCATGACGAATATACTCGTCAGCACCAAAAATTCTGCCATTTTACCGTGACGAGAATACTCGTGAATCACAGTTAACGGCTTAATTAATGTTTGAAGTTGTTTTGCAGAAGTTTTTACCAGTTCTACATTTTTTCCCCACCATATTTAATATACGACAATAAAATTTCAACCGTTTCTACTTAAACAATATTTTTAAACATTTTCGATCAGCATTTTCTTTGCTGATTGTAATTCTAAAAATTATCAATTATTTTTGGGGCATGATAAAAAAAAAGTTTGTTCTAGGCTCTGTATCTACAAATACCTATCGCATTCTTTTGATTTAAAATAATGCAGATTTACGTTTTGCATGCCGATTTGATTATAATTTTTTCTAAAAATATTTTTTGCATGTCTTTAGAATCGAATAGGGAATTCATTATCTGTTTTATCGAATTTTATGACATTTATGAAATTTCTATAGAGGACAGCGGGTCGTAATGATACAGGAAATAATGTAATCGAAATCTGTGTCAATAAAATGTATTAATAATTAATAATAATTATCTAAAATTATTTTATTTGCAGGTATTATTAGTTTTATTAACTTGTTCAGAAAAACGAGTATACTCTAGCAGAAATTAAAGTTTTTATTATTTGTTTTTGTAACAGTAAGTCGAAACAGTTTTGACGAGGGTTGTATTTATTTAATACGTTTCGGAACTAGATCTGTTTCTTCAACAGGTTTTGTATCGAGAACAAAATACAATATTCATATATAATTTACCGGATAATATATTTCCGATAATAAAATTGTGAAAACAAAATATTTAATTTTTTTCTCTTGCCTTCCTTGTTTTTAGTTCAATTTTTACTTCCCGAACATTTTATTCGAAAATGTTTTATAAAAAATATGACTTAAATATCTGTTAGATATTATTTTTGGCATATTTAGTATGAGTAATAGTTTGAATCTATTTTTCCCATTTTCCCCTATATGAAACTTATCGTTATCTTATCATTTCAAAATACTTTGTCGTAATCGAAATCGCGATTTAGTATTTTCTCTTCGGGAAACGATTTGGTATAAAAAAACACCGGTTTTTGCATGTGTAGTAAAAAAAAACAATTGCACGAAAATTAAAAGTAATATTGGTTTGGATTTAGTAAACTTTGCTATTAACAGGTATATTAATTAATGGCTTTATATTTAAATTTGATACTAATTTTATACTATTAAAAAGTTTGCTTAAATTGCATGTACTTAATGAAAAAATAATTCATAGTGGATGAAAAAATATTTACAATTAATTTATTTGTTTGGCAAAAGAATATAATTTTGGTTGTTTTTTATAATTTTTAAATGTATGTGTTTACAACCAAATATTATGTTCTGTGGTTTTTGGTTTATTTTGCCTCTGAAGACAATCGTAAATTTAAATTTAAATTTTTATTTAAAAAAAAAGAAATCAAATACTATTATATAAAATTAGTGTAAAATGATTTTCAGGCATCCATGTAATTATTTGATACCAAAAATTGTTTAGATTTGAAAAAAAATTAAAAATTAAGAAATATATAACAGTTTGTAACTTTTGGAACAAAATTATTAACATCCCGAAGGAGAAGTTTACGTTTTCATAAAAATATCCTATTCGCAAATTTTATGTTTTCTCGACGTTTCAAGCCATTCTGAATCGAATGAGACCAATATTTTGAACTGATTAAGCATGAACTACTCCTTCGGGAAGTTAATTATTATAATTTATGCCTACTAAACATATTTTTTTCTCAATCATAGCTACCATAATAGTTTCAAATTTAATTCAATTGCTTGATAAAATTTAATCTCACCTTTTCCACCTTTCTAAATGTATTTTTTTACCCCAGGTCCTTTGTGCCTCCAGTTCGTGACGAAGAAAGTGAAACCCAAAGGAAAGCCCATGCCAAACGAGTCCGAGAAACCAGGAGGTCGACCCAAGGTGTCACTCTCGATGAAATCAAATCAGCCGAGCAGCTGGTCAAGCAGAAGAACCACAATAACAATAGCATCGGGAACCATGCTGAGGTTAATATCGAAGAACATTTGTTAATTGATAGTGTTTTGGGTGATATCGATAGGGCTGATGGTAGTTTTATCGATAAGATGGTTGAGAGTAATTTATTCGGGGAAGGAAAGATAATTGAAAATGATAAATCAACTCTCGATCTCACACAAAATAATAATATTGTCAATACTCTTTCCTCGAGTGATTTCAATGATAACTCTTTCAATTTCTCGCCAGTTTTGGAACAAGTGTCTGATAACAATTTTTTGACCACTTCTAATAATTCAATCCAAGATAAGTTTGATACAAATATCGTTTTGTATAACAAAAATTCATCAAATCTTTTCACTCGAATCAGAACAATGTTGAATTACAATTTCTATAACAATTTTCTAGATGCATTTAATGTTAAATTAATGTTAGAAGAAGCTGTACAGTATGTGATAGGTTTATTTTTTACCAAAGTGCAGTTTTTGTATAAGTAAATGATTATATTAATATTATATGATAAAATTAGTTCATGTTGAATGTTGTAAACTAAAATTTTTTCTTTCAATATTATATATTGATGATGAAGTTTGTATTTATAAATTTGTCAATTAAATTTTCTTTGTTTTGTATTAAATTGGATTTTATTTTGTTTGTTTACAATGAATGTTGTCTACTAATTTTATCATATAATATTCTGAATCCGAAAAAGAAGTTTGTTTTTGCCAGAAAATTCGATTTGTCCATTAATCACATGAGACTTTTAGGGTAAGAGGGGGTTGGCAAAAAATCACAAAATATCACGTTGGAGAAGAGAGGAATCTAGTTGTAAGATATAACTTGTATATATTTTTTAACCGAATTTTCATATTTTTTTTAAAAAAGTACGATTTTTTGGAAAATTTGTTCGAAAAATTTTGCATAGCTAAAAATACACGTAATGTTTTGCGGGAAAGGGGGGGGAGTAATTTTAAATAACACCAAGAGGGAGAGGTGGTCCCAAAATCCCAAAAAAAATCGATCACGTGATTAATAGACGCCCCCTAATTTTGTTTTCTCAACGTTTCAAGTTATTTTGAATTGTTTGACACCACAGTGTCAATATGTGAGCCGATTTTTGACCTTTCATCGGCGTTTTCTTAAAAAACGACTTAACCGATTTGAAAAATGTAAAAGCCGTTCGATGAAACTCGTTAAGGACTATCATTTGTCAGTTTTGTGCAACGATCGGCCTAATCGTTTCTTTGTAAATAGCAGAAAAGTGAAAAATTTTTTGCCCATTTTTTTCAGCCCACAATCTTGAGTCATTTTAAAATTTAGAAACTGTTCGAAAGATATTGGTTGTGAATCGACCTGATTAGTTTTTGGTAAAGATCGGCCGGGCAGTTTTCTTATAATAATAAAGTGTTGAAAAAATTCTTTTCGACGATTTTTGTGATTTTTTTTTTTGATTATAGATACGATGGTCTTCTAGAACATACTAAAGTATTACGACCCTATGACGAGTTGTTTAATTTTATAAATTCATCGAAGTTTGAAAAAATATGATAGTTAGAATTAGTGTTAAAGGTCGCTTTTGGGATGTGATGAGTCGACCAAGTCAATTAAAAATGGCTTTGGAATTAGTAAAAAAGTAAATAAATAGTTGACAAAACTTCTCTAGTTTCGTTAAAAATGTTACCATTCATTCAAATAAAATAAACTTTGCATTAACTTCTAGATACAAAACATAATCAATCAATAAGAATTGCATTTAAGGTATTTAAGTAAAATGTTCAACTGCTATTGCAAAAAAACTAACGTTTTTAATAAAAAAATAAACATACTTATAATATACGTAATTGTACGAATTAAATTAATTCGTTAACATATTTTTCATTCATTTCGAGTTCTAAAAATGCATTTTATTTAAAGGTGGACATCAACTCGATATAGATTCTCATTAGAAACGCTTGATCGATTTTTTATAATTTATCCGCTTATCGTAGGCCTATAATATTTTAGTATGTTATTTGACATTATGGATTCTATCATCATCATAATCGTCGGAAAAAATTTAAACAATTGATTACGAAGAAACAGCAGGTCCAATCTCTACCGAAAAATAATCAGCACGATCTCCAATCGATATCTTTGGAACAGAATTTTTAAAATCGAGCCAAGATTTTTTGGCTTGAATGAAAAAATTTGCACTTTTCTGCTAATTACAAAGAAATCGATTGAACGTCGTTAAAAATGAATCAATAGTTCTTATCGAGTTACTTTGAAGGGCTTTTAAATGTTTAAAATCGGTCCAACCGTTTTTGAGAAATCTTCGACGAGAGGTCAAAAATCGGTCTCATTTGATTCAGAATGACTTGAAACATCGAGAAAAAAATTAAACTAAACGAGTAAAATTAGCGAATCGGATTTTCTCGTAAAAATGTAAACTACTTCGAGAAGTTACAAATTTTATCTCCTTATAGCAACGTCTCGATCGTATCTTAAAAAAAAACTAGATTAATCTTCGTTCTACACATGCCTACACTACATGTTAATTAACTACTTGAAAGTGGCATTTTGCTTTAAGGCAAGTTGCGTGAACTTCCTGAATTGTGTACTATGTGATTTAATCGACCAAAATTTAGAATTTGAAATTAAACATTTACCAAAATTTAGAATTTAAAAATAAATAAATAAATAAACATTTGTCGAAGGGTCGTAATATTTTAGTACGTTCTTTATGACTATGATATCTGCCAACAAAAAAGTTTTATTGAAAAAAAATTTTTGAACAGTTAATTACTAAGAAATGCCTCGGTCAATCTTTGTCCAAAACTAATCAGTGTGATTACTAAATAACATCTTCTGAATTAGAAAACTGGAGTCATTAGTAGAACTTAGAACCGAGTTACATAGAATGGCTTTTAAATTTCTGAAATCGATCCAACCGTTTTTCGAGAAAACGTCGACGAAAGGTCAAAAATTAGCTGACACATACACCCACACACACACATACTTTTTCCAAATTTGGTCTCATTTGATTCAGATTGGCTTGAAACGTCGAGTAAACAAAAAATCAGCAAATCGGATTTTTTGATGAAAACATAAACTTCTCCGTCGGGAAGTTAAAAAAAAAAGTATACATCAATTAAAAAAGCTGCTAGATCGGATTTCGTATTAAATCTATTATTTAGTTGCACATATCAAGCAAGTTTTTTTTTAAGGCAACGTGCTATATACGCAGAGTTACTTTATAGTTTAATATTATTTTTTTTCTACACTACATATTAATTAGTAATTTGCGATATATATTTATTTATAATTTATAACCCTTACTAATAATTTCATCGTCTATCCCTCCCAGGACTCCACGACATTAACAAAGCCTCAAGAGCCCTCTCAACCCATAGACACCGAGGCGACCCACGCCAACGCCCTGCCCGGCAGCAACCACAACCACCAGTCACCAGCTTCGCCTACAACCAACAGCATCACAGTCAGTTTCACAACCAGGATGCCAAATTCATCAGCGACAACGAACGTCGAACCAGCCAACGGTTCCGATCTGAAACACCAGGAGAACAACGGAATCGTTAACAACGGCGGTCTGACATCCAGGAATAACGGCAACGGCAGTACAACGGCTGCCAGTGCCACTATTACACCAGCCGGTGTCGGTTCTAGAGGGAGCGAGTCACCTGTGGGGCATCATAATCATGAACGCAGGCCCAGTTGGAGGCTGAAGGTGGATAACGGAAGCAAGGTGAGAGATTAGATTCAGGAAACAGATTTGATTAGAGATTCGGACGTTTCTCGAAGCCATTCTGAATCGGATGAGACCGAATTTAAGGAAAATGTATGTGTGTGTGTGAAAAGATTTTTAACTTCCCGAAAAAGAAGTTTATGTTTTAATCAAAAAATCCGATTCGCTAATTTTATGTTTTCTCGACGTTTTAATACAATCTGAATCGAATGAGACCAAATTTGGAAAAAGTATGTGTGTGTGTGTGCGTGTGTGTGTGTCAACAGATTTTTAACTTACCGAAGGAGAAGTTCATGTTTTCATCAAAAAATGAGATTCGCTAATTTTATGTTTTCTCTGAATTTTTTTTCTATTCTGAATCGAATGAGGCCAAATTTGGAAAAAGTATGTGTGTGTGTGTGTATGTATGTGAACAGATTTTTTGCCGTAAATCGACGTTTTCGTCCACGTTTTAGCCCGCAATTCTGAATCGATTTTGAAAATTCAAAAACCGTTCGAAAGATATTGGTTGGGAATTGTGCTGATTAGTTTTTGGTAGAGATCGGCCGGGCCGTTTTCTTGTAATTAAGTGTTAAAGAAATTTTTTTCGACAATTTTCATTATTTTTTTTTTTTTTGACGGCAGATACCATAGTCTTCTAGATCATATTAAAATATTGCTGCCCTACGACAACTAGTTTAACTTCCCGTAGGGTAAGTTATTGTAATGGGCCGAAAATCGGAATTGAAAATTTTCACATTTCTCGACGTTTTGAAGGTTTCTGAACGTTTTGGCATACCTCAGAAAAAATGGATGTGTGTGTGGGTATGTATGTATGTATGGATACAAAATTCCAGTCACGTTTCGGGCGCACGGATCAACCGATTTGAATGGTTCAAAAAAACATTTGATTCCTATTGATAGGGAGATGTGCTGATTAGTTTTTGGTAAAGGCAGGTCAAGCCGTTACGGAGATACGGAGCAAAGAGTGCAGAAAATAGACAAATCGAGTGAACGGAGCCTCCGATTTGAATGATCTAATAACATTCAATTAGTAATGATTGGTAGAAGTGATTATTAGTTTTTGGTAAAGGCAGGTTCAGCGTTTTCGGAGATACATAGCTAAATATTCAAAAAATGGTAGTTTTTAAGAAAACTAAGCGTCCGATTTGAATGATACAAAGAACTTTCAGCTTGTTTTAACAAAATAATTGATTTTGGAAAAAAATTGTATCTTAATTTTTTTTTATATCGAAAATAAATCAGATTTTATTTTTCATTCTGACTAAAGTTCTAATATACTTTAAATAAATAATTTTAACTTTGCAATTTAGTTTATATAATTCTTATAAATATTAGATAATTTTACAATATTTATAATACAACATTCAGTATTCCTCGAACATTTCGTTACGGTACGGGAAGTTCCAGCAGTTTGCCTCAAGGCTCGATGCCATACACCCCACTAGTTTAACTTTTAAAATTAGTCAAATTTTGCAAAAATTGGTATCGGTTTTTTGGCATTTGTCAAAATGAGACCTTTCATCGACATTTTCTCAAAAACGCCTGAACCGATTTCAGAAATTTAAAACCCATTTGATGTATCTCGATGAGCACTATAGTTTGTCAGTTTTGTGCGACGATCTGCCAAGCCGTTTCTTTGTAATTTGAAAAAAAGTGTTAAACTTTTTGTCCACATTTAAGCTCATGCTACCAAACCGATTTTAAAAAATCGAAAACTGTTCGAAAGATGTTAGTTGGGAATGATACTGATTAGTTTTAGGTGAAAATCTACCGAGCCCTTTCTTGTAATTAACTGTTGAAAAAACAATTTAAGCCGATTTTTATGGAACTTTTTTTTAGCGATATATCATGGTCTTATAGAACTTACTGAATTATTACGGCCTTACGACGAGTAGTTTAATTTTAAAAATTCATCAAAGTTTGAGAAAATGGGTAGTTTTTTTGACATTAGTTAAAATGAAAATTAGACGATTTACTTGGTATAACGATAGAGTACTTGGTTTTAATGAACATAGTAAACCATTAAAGTCCTACGGAAACTGGTTCAATTATAATTATTGATTAATTAAAATTATTGATCTTTGAAAATTTGCTTTAAGAGAATACTCCGAGTTAACGTGTTCTTTCGTTCGTTTGCAATGATGTGTAATAAATCCACTCGGAATACTTTTAATCACTCATAAATTAATTTATTTTTAACTTCCCTTAGGGTAAGTTATTGTAATGGGCCGAAAATCGGAATTGAAAATTTTTACATTTCTCGACGTTTTGAAGGTTTCTGAACGTTTTGGCATACCTCAGAAAAAATGGATGTGTGTGTGTGAGTGTGTATGTATGTATGGATACAAATTTTCGCCCACGTTTTCAGGCGTACGGATCAACCGATTTGAATGGTTCAAAGAACATTCGATTCCTATTGATAGGGAGAAGAGCTGATTAGTTTTTGGCAAAGGCAGGTCCAGTCGTTTCGGAGATACCGAGCAAAGAGTGCAGAAATTAGAAATCGAGTTTTTGAGAGAACGGAGCATCCGATTTGAATGATCTAAAAAACATTCAATTAGTAATGATTGGGAGAAGGGGTTTTTAGTTTTTCGCAAAGGTAGGCCCAGCCATTTTGGAGATACAGAGCTAAATGTACAAAAAATGGCAGTTTTTGAGAGAACTAAGCGTCAGATTCAATTGATTCAAAGAACTTTCTGCTTGTCTTAACAAAATAATTGATTTTGGAAAAAAAAATTTTGTTTCATTTTTTTTTTTTTTTTTTTTAATATTTTGTATATCGATAATAATAATTCAGATTTTATTCTTAATTCTGACTATAGTTCTAATATACTTTAAACAAATAATTTCAACTCTGCAATTCATTTTATATAATTCTTATAAATATTAGACAGTGTTACGATATTGATAATAATCTATTTGAAAACATTCAATATTTCTCGAACATTTCGTTACGGTAAGGGAAGTTCCAGCAATTTGCCTTAAGGCACGATGCCACCCACCCCACTAGTTTATTGATTAAGTCGATTATTGACACATATCGAGAAGTTCATGTAACTTGCCTCAAAGCAAAATACCAAACCAACTAGTTATTTTTATATTATTGACTGAAAATTTTCTCATTAAACCGCTGAAAAAAAACATCAATTTTAAAATGATTTAATCTGACTCGATTTTCGATAGAAACTTTTTTATATGGCATTTTTTTATGATTTGCCAAAACGTTTTTTTCTTTTGTTACATTCGTAAGTATTTTATATATGTTTATGTCTGAGTGCAGAAGTAAAACATAGTTATAAAACATTCAAAATATATTGAGTTTGATACAATATCGAAGACAATGAAGACTTGTTTTTAACTTCCCGAAGGAGAAGTTTATGTTTTCATCAAAAAATCCGAATCGCTAATTTTATGTTTTCTCGACGTTTCAAGCCATTCTGAATCGAATGAGACCAAATTTGGAAAAAGTATGTGTGTGTGTGTGTGTGTGAACAGATTTTTTGCCGTAAATCGACGTTTTCTCCAAAACGGTTGGACCGATTTCAAAAATTTAAAAGCCTGTAAAGCCTCAAAGAGATGTATCTCGATGAGGACTATCGTCTCTGAGTTTTGTGCGGCGATCGGCCGGGCCGTTTCTTTGTAAATTGCAGAAAAGTGAAAAATTTTTCGTCCACGTTTTAGCCCGCAATTCTGAATCGATTCTGAAAATTAAAAAACCGTTCGAAAGATATTAGTTGGGAATGATGCTGATTAATTTTAGGTGAAAATCTACCGAGCCGTTTTCTTGTAATTAACTGTTGAAAAAAAGTGTTAAATTTTCGTCCACATTTAAGCTCATCCTACCGAACCGATTTTGAAACATCAAAAACTGTTCGAAACATATCATTTGGGAATGATGCTGATTAATTTTAGGTGAAAATCTACCGAGCCGTTTTCTTGTAATTAACTGTTGAAAAAAAGTGTTAAATTTTCGTCCACATTTAAGCTCATCCTACCGAACCGATTTCAAAAAATCAAAAACTGTTCGAAAGATATTAGTTGGAAATGATACTGATTAATTTTAGGTGAAAATCTACCGAGCCGTTTTCTTGTAATGAACTGTTAAAAAAAATGTAAGCCGATTTTCATGGAACTTTTTTTGGCGATATACATCATGGTCTTATAGAACTTACTGTAATATTACGGCCTTATATTATTACAACAAGTAGTTTAATTTTAAAAATTCGTCAAACTTTGCTAAAATTATTATCGTTTTTTTTAAAAGTAGGATTGATGAAGTATATTATTTACACATTTTTTTGATTAAGTCGATTATTTACACATATCGGGAAGTTCATGTAACTTGCCTCAAGGCTAAATACCAATACCAACTAGTTCATTTATCAGTTTAAGCTGGAAGATGCAACAAAGTCGAGTAGTGATACCCAGCCCACAAGACGTCCTACCAGTGTTCCGGCTGTTAACAATTCAACGAGCTCTCTGTCCAGGGATTCTGCGGGTAACAACAATAGGAGTAGTGTGGCAGATCCTACGAGAATGACGAATGATGCCACCGTCACTGGTACTGGTACCGGTACTGATAACACGACTGTCACTCTACAACTGAGACGACCCACCAGGAGCACACAGGAGGATAAAGGTATTAGGATAGAATAAATAGAATAAATAATTGAATTCGTTTAGGTAAAAGCAATTGAAAATTTTAAATAAAATAATTTTTTTTTTAATCTTCGAAATTTTCCTGAACTTTAAAAAAATTGCAACTTTTTCAAAAATTTCAAACTTTCCAACATTTTTTTCAAAAAATTAAATTCAAAATGTGCAAATTTTGTAAAAAGTTAATCAAATTTATCAAATATTTTTCAAAAAAATTATAAATTTCGAATTTCGATTTACAAAAAATTTCAAAATTTCGATTTACAAAATGTTTAAATTTTTTCTTCAAAACTTAAAATCATATCAATATTTTTAAAAAAACAAATCGAATTTGTTCAAAA